TTTTCAGCAACCTTAAGGCTTGAGGATGAATTTCGAACTCTCCAATGGGTGCTTCAATCTTTTCTTGCTGAGGTCCCCTCTGAGACAGAGTCAAGCTCACACATTCCTGGCTTGCAACCCGCTTGATGCTGAGGATGTTCCTTGGCACGCTCATAAGCATATTAAGCCGTTGCGTTGCCTCTTCAGGTACATGCTTCGTTCCGGTGTGTATATATATATGTAGAGAGAGAGATAGCTGACATGTTCACGCTTCACAGGTTCATGCCAGTGCCGGAATGACTGGTTTTCTGCAGGGGATGTAAAAGCACAAAAAGTGTAGTTTGCTCTGTCAGTGACAAAGTGACCAAAATGGATATCGCCCTTTTTGCCGCATTCATTATTGTTTTGGGTTTGCAAGCAGAAAGCAAATCTTCCTTCGTGCTTCCATGATCTTGTCGTGTGCAAGCTGCAAGATCTTTCCTCAAAGGCTTTGTGCACACATGAGTCCCCATCGCATGAAGTGTTACAAGTCTGGCAAGGACGTTGTGCTGTGGGTGAACTGCAGTGTTGGTGCTCATCTGGCAACTTGCAAGTCTGGTACAATTCAGATCGAAGAGCCAGAAAAGTGAAACATTAACGCATGTCAATGTTGTTTGTTGCACCTGGACCTGCAGACAGCCACGAATAAACATGTGTGAAGAACAAAAGGCCTGCGAACACTGGGAGCAGTGAGCACTGTACAAGCAATGCTCGTGACACGATCAGCCACATCAATTTCATCGTGTTGGTGTGGGTGTCCGACTGTATGTCAACTTCGTTTCTTTCCTTTCTGAAACCAGTATCTATCCTTCAATTGATGCCCAAATAGACTCATCGCGCAGCTTCAAATGCAAACAATCAGCATACAAGGAGGTGCCTTCTTTGCTTAGCTGACGCACTGGAAACTTTCCTTTGCGGGCTGAACTCAGTTTACATAAACTTGTCCAGCGCAACTTGTGTCGCGTTCTTTGTCACTTTCAATGTAGTGTGGGTGTGAAAGCATCAAAGAACACGAGAAGTGCATAGACTATACCACGGTGGCAGTTCAAGAAGAATTGACCTCCACCTGGAGATGCCTGCCAAAATAGTATCGCATCGACTAACCCTAAATGTCAGTGTTGGTCGCCTCTCTAATCCCACTTTAGTCACTTTAGCTGTAGCTACCAAAGTTCTTGCCCAAACTCACAGGGCTGAGCATGCCACAATCGACGTGGTTCCCCTAGCCCTCTGTCGCGCGAACAACAAATATCACTGGGGAACAAAATTAAACCAGCATAGACCCAGATAGCTAGGCAGCATCCCACGACCTGTTGACATGCGACTGGCTGGAACAAGAATGTGCACAGCCTGCACGCACAGCCAGCTTACGGCGCCTCCACAGCGCGCGCAACCAGCTGACACCAGCACCGGTGCGCTTTGCCAGCTGACACGGGGGCGGCACCAGCACCCGACAAGCACCGCCGCCCGTCTTATACGCGCGCTCAGCCACCAGCACCCAGGACCACAACACCAGCACCAGCACTGACACCCCTTCGAAAGCCCGCGCAGCCAGCTCATTCTTATTAAGTTTGCAGTAAGAACCCCATAGCTATCCCTAGTGTGCTCTTGCGCGTATAAGTTTATGCGCACAAAAGTTTGCGCGCAAACAGCAAAGCCCGTAAGTGTCATTGGCCCAAGGCCAAGCAGTATCCAGCGCCACTATTGCCTTTGTAGCAGTAGCACGCTTGAAGCAACGATCTGTAGAACAATAGGGCCGTATGATCTTGCGCGTATAAGTTTATGCGCACAAAAGAGTGCGCACAAACGGCAAAGCCCGTAGGCTTCACTCGCCCAAGGCCAAGCAGTATCCAGCACGACTATTTTGTGTGTAGCAGGCTGAAACATGCTGTCGGTTGAGAGCCTGACGTTGCGCATAGAACAGTGTACGTACAAAAGTATGCGCGCAAACAGTACAGCCCTTGACAGCACCAGCCAGCACCGGCACCAGCAACCTGTCTCCACCACGCGCAGCCCGCTCACAGCACCATCACCGGCGCAGGCACCCGGCCAGCACCCTCGCCCGGCACCACGTGCACAGCCAGCTCACAGCACCAGCACCAGCAGCACCAGCACCGGCACCCGGCACCCAGCACCAGCACCGCCAGCACCGGCACCCTGCACCCAGCACCAGCACCCGCACCAGCAACCACCAGCACCTGCACCCGGCACCCAGCACCACCACCAGGCACCAGCACCGGCACCAGCACCCAGCGCCAGCACCAGCACCGACACCCAGCACCAGCACCAGCAACCTGTCTCGAAAGCGCGCAGGCAACTCATTGTTATTTGAAGTAAGAACCCCATAGCTTCGCTATCTGGGGAAAAACAACTTGTTTCATGCGTGATGATAATGTATCGTTCCGTCTTGTTGAAAAAGGTAACACTTCTTTCCTGCTGGAACTTGAGAGGTCACTGTGACAAGCCCTCTTGCTGTGTTTTTAACTGAGGTGTCGATCCCGGAGTATGACATTGACCCGGTTCTTTGTTGCCAGTGACTTATGCAATAATGAGGCTTCAAAGGTGTTGGTCATTTGATAACAAACTTACCCACGGGCATTGAACATGGCGCGACAATGTGCACGAAACCTTTCCCAACGGTTCTTGCTCTATGAACGGTGAAAGACTTTCAAAGAAGCAGACTTTGCCTCTGCTTTAGCAAGATCATCAGTCACTTGGTTACCTTGGGTGAGATGGACTGAAATGTATCCTTGCCAGAGGCAACAACTTTGACAACAGAAACTTGGCCTTCAAAAAGCCAGGCTGGCCTACCCACTTGTGTCCATAAGTACAAATGGATAGAAAGTTGTTTTCTTGGAGAACAAAAAATGCCCTGTACTTCACACCCACCTTGTGTGTGTGTGTACACCTTGGAATCAGAGGTTGTAATGCAGGAGGCAGTAACCACTCTTGATGTTTGAGCTTTGAGACTTACGACCTTTGACTTTGGAGCTTTGGAGTCTTTAACATATTGAACTCGCAAATTTCAATTGTGCCCCCTTACATATGTTACTCAGGTTTTTTTCACTCAGGCCTTTGGGGTGCATTCACATCGTACGTACGCCTTTCCTGAGTGAGTGTTATTTTACAACATTAGCTTGTCTGATCAACCACACTGCGACAGCAGTTGGACTTCAGTGCTTGCACCTGTGGTTTTTATCCTCGGTGTGCCTGGGCTCCTGCTACCTACTTTCTTGACAAGTGAAGGATGCCGTACCCCTGTGCATGCCCTCAAGCGCAATCGTATCTTTGAAACAACATTGAGCACTGTAATCTAAGTTGGGTTTAAACTTGTGATTTGTTTCCTGAAACCTGTGAGCCAGTGTGAGAGCCTGGTATCCTTCCGCCGTGTGGATTGATTGGAAATCGCGCCTTCGGCGAGCGCCGCCTGTTTCGGATGTCATTCCGCCATTTCTAGAAACCTCGTCAAAGCTCTCCTTGACTGGAGGTACAAGTAGTGAAGTAAGTAGTGCAAAGGTGCTTCTGATGTTCAAGACTCTGAACCATGCAGTGGTTTACCAGTGTTCCAAGCGCGGACAACTCTTCTGAAAATGTTCCTCCAAGTCTCCTCGGCAAACTTCCCCAGCACCTGAGATACAACTGCAAAAAAACAGGCTGGGGCACTGGGGCACAGGGGAACTTTTTGACTTTTACTCCACTTGCCCGCGGGGGTGGAACAAAAGGAACAAGAACAACGAAAGCTACAGGGGGTTAGCATGTGGACAACCAGGAACCTAAAAACAACCCACTGTCACCAGACCCACAAGAATGACTCCAAAAAGAAAAGAACAACTCAAGAGAGAAGAGACAATATATCGATAACATTACAGTGTATATATAATATACTATACGATATAAGAGGGGGCTCACAAGCTTTGCAAAGAATACGAAAGAGCTCCAGGTCAAAGCACACATGAGGAAAGCAGTTGTGAAATGGCTGCGAGACTCAGAGGAAATACCAAAGCTGCAGCAGCGATAACTCCTGCTTGAATCAAAGGTGCCTCGCAGAGAAAAATGATGGAACATGTTGACTTTGCGGAGTCATCATAAGATTCTGGCGCAAATGTGGGCGATTATGGTTTCATGGATGAGGAGGAAAGGAAATGCAGGAGAAGGAATGAGGCAATGGAAAATGCAGGAAATGCAGAAGAAAAGAAGAACGAAGAAGTGCTGAAGTTGAAGCAAGGTAAAACGTAGATGAAGGTATGGGTGAAAAAAGGTGAAAGAGATTGAGGAGACTTTGAGAGAAGAGGGATGGAAAAAGAGAAGTGGCCAGGAATGCACGACAAGGAGGACACAGTTTTACAGGAAGCAGAGGCGAGAGCCTTTGAAAGCAGTAGAGGGCAAAGGGGTTGTTGAAGAAGTGCAAACAACCATATGCGAAACTAAAGAAAACAAAATGTTTCAGATGATGAAAATGGAAGGACTGAAGACGCAACAAACGGTCAAGAGTCAGGAGGAAATGAAAAGTGCAACAGTGTGGACTGTGGAGCAGCTGAGAAAGAAACACAAAGATTGAGACACAAATATTTGCGTAACCTATTGATGATGCCAGGTGACAATTTGTGACAATGAATACATACAAAAATAATGTCTCCTCATGCATCAACGACTCCCCGACCTCCCCGACTGGACCGTGACCAATGCAGTTTGCCTGTTTAAAATAAGAAAAAGTCACAATACAATACTTGTGGGAAATTCATTTTGATGGAGACAAATGCTTGGAATCAAAGTGATGTAGCTGAGCTGCATCAGAGCCAGCTTCTTCTACCACATGGGACGCGGACGGTTCAGCTTCTGTGTTGGAAGTTCAAATCTGTCAGTCAAATGCTCACACTCAAAGCATGGTCTTGAGTCATGGTCCGAAACACTTGAGGCAAAATGCTGCAAAGAACCCAGTGTCAAAATTCATGCCACCCCTGCAATTCCAGAACTTAGCTTCTGACAGCTTTACACTGCTCATTGACGGCCTACCGTTCCCAGAACAAGCACCCAAACACCCCATCGTTGCATTCTGCCCTGCAGGCCTTCATGGCCATATCAGGAAGGCTTGCCACACTTGCCACCTTTCAAAGGCAAATGAAAAAATCGTAGTTTCTTGTTACTAGTGGCGATTGCCTCCAACCTACTTGCGATGGCCTCCACCCAATAGCATCCTTGTTACTAATCCAAGTGATAAAATACCCATGCCTCAGAAAACAAATGGTTGAGTTGTGCTCAGCAGGGAACAAGAAGCTACTAGGTGGAGGCCGTCACTATTAGGTTGGAGGCCATTACTACTGGTAGCTAGAAGCTACTAGGTTGGAGGCCATCGCTACTAGGAACAAGAAGCTTCTGGGTGGCGCAAGGTCCTCAAATGAAATGAGTGTCCACGTTCCGCACTACGCCGGTCAGCACTTTTGACGGCACAGCGCCAGGGTAAATAGATGGCACCGTAGTGGCCTATATTGACCCCGTGCGACAGCCGTACCATGGTTGAGTCATGACATGTCTACTTCATGAACCTGCTTCTCCGCAAGCCTTGAGCCACAGGCACGCTCGAGCGAAATAGCGTGTCGCCGCGTGGGACTGCGAGGGTTTTGTTCGTCTTGCCCGTAAGACGGGCATCTTTGTTGTTCCTCTCGAGCCATACTACTTGATAGCCTACCTGCTTGGCATCCCCTGGGCGAGCAATGAACGCTGCGCCGTCCTTTGACAGTGTGGGGCATTCCCTCGAAGGCATCTGGTTGGGGCCAGCTTCTTCCAGTACGCCAAGAGGGGTGACCACCAGTCATGCCCCGTGAAGGAGTACCTGTCCATGGACTCTTCTTGATCTGGAAGGCTGAGACGACCTTGGTCTGCAAGGCCATCATCTCGAGGGTCTGAGAAGTTGTCTTCAACGGACAAGTATGCTGAAAATCATCATGGCGGGCACTGCACCCCACCTGGAAGCGGGCCACTCCCTCCGAAGAGTGCGAAATTGAGAATTCCTGTTCCAATTCACCCTCGGCCACTGCCTGCCAGAGAGCTGGCTATATCCGCTTCTGGTCCACGTGTGGGGGATGCATTGCATAATGCGCTGGGCCCAATGTCTGAGTAGATTGGCCTCCAGGCGCCGTTGGGTAGTTGGTTCCAGCTCCTTGATGCGTCCAGGTTTCCAGCAACGCCATTTGTCCACCAGGATGACAGCCAGCGTTGCCGATCTTCGTCCCCCCAACAACCCTCGCGGGCATTGTACATGTCCGTGGACCGACCCATGCGCGCCAGTTGCGTCAGCAGAAGGTGGTCGAGGTCAGTAGTGACAGCGCGTCCTCCACGACTGATTCAAAGAAAGGAGTGGGCATCATGCCCACCGCCAGTCCATCGTATGGTGAAGGAGCCGCAGAGGAAGGACCGCCTCCGCCTCAACGCTTTTGGGCTTCAGGAGCAAGGCCACAAGAGTCTCGCCATCTTGTTGGGCCGGAGTGATGCCCAAAAAGTGTAAAGTGGCCGTGCTTGTAGGTAGTAGGGCGTCGGCAGGATGGAGGAGGCCAGGTCTGCAGGCTCTAGGGTGAAGGCCGTCCAGGCTAGGGTATAAGGAGATGGCTGGCGGTCAGTCACACGCATGTGCCGTGAAAAAGTGCAGGGACAAGAGAGACGTGGTCTCCACACCTCAGAACAAAAACGCGAAGGCAATCATGAAAAGTCCCGAAACAACCAACACCCAGAACAAGGTCAAGTCATCCGAGACCTAAGAAAAACAGAAATTACACCAGCATAGACCCAGATAGCTAGGCAGAATCCCACGACCTGCACAGCCTGCACAGCCAGCTCGTGGCACCTCCCCGTCTTAAACGCGCGCTCAGCCAGCTGCCAGCTCACAGCACCAGCACCCACGACCAGCACCGACACCCTTTCGAAGGCGCAGCCAGCTCATTCTTATTTGCAGCAACAACCAACCCCATAGCTATCCCTATTTGGGGAATAACAACGTATGATCTTGCGCGTATATGTTTATGCACGCAAAAGTACGCGCGCAAACAGCAAAGCCCGTAAGTGTCATGAATTGGCCCAAGGCCAAGCAGTATCCAGCGCCACTATTGACTTTCTAGCATGCTTGAAGCAACGATCTGCAGGACGATAAGGCCGTATGACCTTGCGCGTAAAAGTGTATGCGCACAAAAGTATGCGCACAAACGGCAAGGCCAAGCAGTATCCAGCACGACTCTTGTGTAGCATGCTGAAACACGCTGGAACAATGGCCGGTTGAGAGCCTGACGTTGCGCATAGAACACATTATACGTAGAAAAGTATGCGCGCAAACAGTACAGCCCTTGACACAGCTGCCAGCCAAAACAGAACTGTAAATACCCCACAGCGCTAATAGACAAAGAACGCTCAAGCGACAACACCGTATGATGTTGCGTGCATAAGTTCACGCGGCCCATGACTGCTGGCACTTCATTGTCAGAAGCGGCGCTTGGCCGCCCTTCACTGCTGCAAGCGGCGGTTTGTTACCCTTCACTGTCAGAAGCGGCGGTTGTTATCACTTCACTGTCAGAAGCGGGCACCAGCGCCGGCCCCCGGCACCAGCACCAGCAACCTGTCTCCACCACGTGCACAGCCAGCTCACAGCACCCGGCGCCAGCACCAACCTGTCTCCACCACGTGCACAGCCAGCTCGATCACAGCACCAGCACCGGCAACCGGCACCAACACCAGCGCCAGCAACCAGTCCCCACCACCAGCACCGGCACCCGGACCAGCGCCAGCAACCTGTCTCCACCACGCGCACACCAGCACCGGCGCCCGGCACCAGCACCAGCACCAGCAACCTGTCTCCACCACGTGCACAGCCAGCTCACAGCACCAGCACCGGCACCAGCACCAGCAACCTGTCTCCATCACATACACAGCCCACTGGCACCCAGCACCAGCAACCTGTCTCGAAAGCGCGCACGGGCAACTCATTGTTATTTGAAGTAAGAACCCCATAGCATCGCTATCTGGGGAATGACACCGAACAAGACCAGAGCAAGCGCGCCAACTTTTCCAGCCGTCATAGAAGGTCACGTCGCCACGTTCTGGCAGAGGGGTCCCCTCCGACCCCTTTCAGAGCCCACGGCGTCTGCCAGGGAGGTCCTAGCCCGACAAGCGGGGGGGCCGACCCAATAGATCCCACGACGGTGCTGGGGTCCGGTCGCATGCCATTCCAAACCTGCCAAGTCCTGGTCCGTGTAGTACTCGCCGTCCAATCCCCGGCCATTGTCCGTGAGGGGCAGGACCACTGAGCCCTGCCATCCTTGTACTCCATATGCCAGGTCTCTTCCCCCACTGTGATCTGGGCGCCCCGGACTTGCGAGGAGACTGGTAGCGGCTCCGCCGTGGGTTGGCAGATCGTGCACTTCTTCCATTGCCGGGACCTGGCTGTGTTGCAATCGGGCAGCACAGCTCATAGTCAATGGCCCCCAGGTCCGTCTAGTCCAGGAACTCCATGCCACGGTTGCCCTTCCGCTGGTTGGTCACGGAGATGTGAGGCTGGTGCAGCAATTCTGCTGGGCCCGGCTCTTGGCCACGAAGGGCTCCAAGACGCGTTCCACCAAGGGGTGAGTGATGTCCCCAGTCTTGAAGTCGCCCAAGAGGGAAACCAGCTCGGAAAAAAACACACAAAGGCATTGAGCGGCACGATGGTGTTGGAGCATGGAATCGCGCCACTGGCCCTAGCCTTCCCCGTCCACCGGCGCCCCCTTGGAAGTTCCAGAGCCTCCGCAGGGGTGCCCATCTCGGGGAGGGGAGTCCACCGGGTCAAGATCCATGGCCACTGGCGCCTCAGCCGCAGGTGTAGAGGAGGTAGAAGTCGGAGCAGCTAGTGGACCCCCTTTGGGTGTTTCAGACCCAGGCGTCTGCACCCGCAGGGGAGTCAGCTGAGCCATCGCGGCATCCGTCTCCTGCATCTTGGCCTGCAGGGCTTCCTGGGTGAGAAGCTCACACATTACAAAATGATGTTCATCCTGGTACCTGAGCTGGCATGGTCAGTCGAAGAACCAGCGAGGGCGTCAGCAGTCCACAGTGATTGAAGTCACTGTTGGAGCGGCTACAACGGAGTCAAAGAAAGCTCACGGGAGTGCAGAGTTCAAATCTTGAGTGCCCAGGCTTGAGCCAAAATGCCCGAGGCGTTTTGGCTAATGAAATGTGTTCATGAAACATAACCTGCTTTGCGCAGGCTCCAAGCACGCACTAAATATAATTGTATAATCCTCTATATACAGTGGATTGTTCTACAAAACAATGCCACCAAGCAAGCGATTTGACCCCACCTGATCTGCAGCAAAGGTGCAGCTCACCTGGTTGTGACATGACATGACCCAAGTACCAAACCCGCAAAAGAACTTAGAGCCTGAGAAGGTAGCCTCGGCGGATTGCTTCAATTGTGTTCTTGTTTGCCTTTGTTTCTGCTCCAAGAGCATCTATGTCAGCTTCCGCATGCCTAAGCTCTGCCCTTTTTGCTCCTGTTATATTGTTATATACTGCCGGTCGCAATCTGAACAACACAACGAGTGTGTTTTGTGCTTTGAAACAAGTGAAGGATTTGCAACCTTCACACGAAACAATGAGGAGATGAAGGCAGGGCAGAACCTTGACGACGCCAAAGGCTTTGGAAGCAGCCTAAGTGGCCTGGTGAGCAAGAGTCACCAAAATGTCCTGCCCTGCCTTGAAACATATTCGATCTATTGAGGGGCTTCCACTTCTGTATCTGCAGCTCTGTCAAAGACACCCTGCACTTGCACACTGAAGAAGCTCCCAGTGGCTTTGATACTTCTGCTGGCCCATGCTACAGCTTCGCTTTGCCAAACCTCTTTCGAAGAGCTCGCGCAAAGAAACACCCCAGAACAATCATTCCTGCTGACTGCCACGCATCAGGGTTCGTTTTGGAAAGGCCAGCTCTGGGCAGTAGAAAAGTTGCCAGCGGAGCACGCAGCGGTGCCAAGCCAGCGTAGGCACCTCTGACGTTCTGTCCTCTGAGGCCTCTAGCTGCACCATTGACCAGGTAACCTGGTTGTCGCTTCAACTGCTTCCTGGAAAGTGCAGCTGCCCCTGAAGGTTTGCCAGTAGGCTCTGCAGTCCCGGGCAGCTGCTTCCGCATCAATCGGTCGATGGCCATAATGAAGCCAGTTGAAAGGACTAAATTGGCCGCCAGGCTGAGAACTGCAACGGCCACGGCAGGTCCTTGCATGCCAAGTCCCAAGGAGATCGCAATGACACCTGCGCCAACTTCGCCTCTCGGACACATTCCCAAGGAAAGAGCGAGCCTGGTGCGTAAGTCAGCTTCATCCCGGTAGCAAAACAAAAGCATCATTTTGCCAACGATCATCAGAATTGATACAACAAAGACATGCCAAGCTGTCTGTGCTGCAGTCAAATGTCCTTGGACCGAAAAAAGAGATGGCATGGACATTCCCACCAGAAGCATAAAGCAGGTAGAGACAAAACTTTTCACACTTTCCTCCCAGCTTTCATCAAGCACTTCACACCATGGGTCTTTGGGTCTGCAGATTCTCGTCATGCAACCAATGACGAAGGCCGGGAGCAGGACCTCTATGTGAACCCGTCCGCTCGTGTAAAAGCAAAGACCTTCACAAGCTGCGGTGATCAAGGCGGAGTACATCATCGTCCACCTCCATGAGCTCTGAAGCCGAATCTGATGAAGATTCTGCCATGCAAGCAACAAGCAAGTAGTGACAAAGACCGCATCGATTGAGAGCTCCCATTTGAAGCCCACCAAATACATCTTTAACGGTATCATCAGCAGGATTGTATCGAGGTCATCAAAGATTGCAAGGACTTGGGCTTTCTTGAACAACCACGTTTCTTTGAAGCCAGCAGCTTCCAGCATATTAAAGAGAATGCCCGCACTAGTTGGTGCTGCAAATCTGGCCATCAACAAAGCTGAGCCCCAGGCAAGGCCTGAGTTGGGCAAAGCAAAGTGCAACCAAAGGGCAACAAAAATCCAAGGTAGACCGGCTGCTGACATGGCAACAATGTAGTCCCGTGCATATGTCCCAAGCTTACTTCTCTCAATCACGAACTCATGGCCCACACCGACCATCAGGAACGACAAGGAAAACATTGTCAAGAGCCCAACCACTCGGCCATACATGGAATATTGAGTAACGCTCAGGTGGCCTGCGGCTGCCTGTGATATCATCAAGCCAACCAAAAGCATTCCTGTGTAGGTAAAGAGCTTTTGCTTCCCACTGGCACTTGAGCTCTCATCGGTCATTGCGGAAGAGGAGAGAGTCTTCTTTGAGAGTCTTCTTCTCCTTTTACAAACGCAAGCCTGGCCTGTCCGAAGCCTTTGGTGACACGGTCGAGCCCAATGGCGGCGGGGGGGGGTAGGCAGCTAGGTAGCTAGTAGAAGCTAGATAGCTGCTACCTTACTTGAGCTACTACACATTTGACGCAGGATAGCTCACGCTAATGATTTGGTTCCTAGATTTTTAGGGAAACTTAAGTAACAAGAAGCTACTACGGGCTCCTGGCCTTACTACTAGGAGCAAGGACGCTACTAGGGGCTCCTGGCCATACTACTAGTAACAAGAAGCTACTAGTTACTAGTATTGTTACTTAAGTAGTGCTCGTCACTTCTTCACACCAATGTGCTTAACGCTTGACAACTGCTGCTCGGAAAGCACCGTCAAGCTTCAAGGAAAACAAACAAAGCCGGCAACAGCCCAACACAAGCAAGAAAATAGAAACATCCAAAACAACAAAAAGCGGCGCCTCGCCCATTGAACACCATGGCAGCCCATGCACGATCAGCTCACTAGCTGTTGAATTGTACGTGACATGTTGTGTAAGTTCTCAGTTGCAACATGTCATTTGAGTAGTATAATCTGGAGTGGCTCAGACGGTGACTGTTTTGAGCATACTTTTCTTGATTTTCTAGTTGTCGCTAGATTTCACTTGCTCTCCCATGTCCATGGATCGTGAGGCTGTCTTCAACACTGCCACTTCAACGCATTCATTGCGTCATCAAACAGCTTCAATTGCCTCCTGACTAGACAAACTAGTTGTATGAAGTACATTCTGTGATAACTTGTCACACGCATTGGCACAACTCACAGCACCACTTTGGGTGTTTCCAACTACCAACATGGCAAGCGCTCAAGGGGCTTCGGTAGCCGATAGGCCTGCACTCCAAGGAGAGGGACAACACAGGTACTGCCACACTCTGCCTGTGCCTCAAACACCCGGCGAGCTTGTCCCACCTGCTTCCACCTCTGCAGGCACAACTGCCTTGTGCACACACGACCACCCCTCTGCTCAGGATCCAACACGGAACTGCCAGGCAAAGGTGGCTTTCCTGTGTTGACCACCGACCACCTAAGAATCTGCAGCCCACACAAAACAAATCTGATGACGACTCAGGTCAATGCTCTTCCGATGGCTCCCGGGGAAGCACTTGGAAGTCAAGAGTAGAAACCACGGACAATGCCAGTGAAAGCCTCGAGTTGAATTGTTGCTACCACTGGAGCTGCTACCACCTAAAAAGAAATTTGTGCTACAAGCTTCTTGGAGCTTGTGATTGAGTCAACTCCTTGGAGCCTCACGGCATCCAGTCCTTGTAGCTGAACAAACCAGACTTTCTAGAGCTCTACAGGTGCTCAAAATATCTGCAGGTGCAGCTCTCCTGAACAGCTTCGGCGGCTTTGTAAACTGCATCTAGCTCCTTCAGAAAATCAAAGCCCTGCAATTGCTACTGTGGCTGTGGCTTAAAGGGCAGCACTAAAAATCGTGTTTGTTTGCATTCACAATTGTCGTCCTCCCACTTCTCATCTAAGTGCGAGTTGCACCAATGGAACCTATAGTAGAACGAACAGGAAAGCAGGAAAGCATCCCAGACTATGGACAACCTCCCAACATAGCGGACATGGTCCAGCACACCTCCCACAATAAAGGCCCCAGCACATCCATTTTTGAAATGTGGCCATACCAACCAATAAAGCCAATCACCACCTCTGCAAGCAGAGAGTCACCAAGACTTGCCAGTCCTCACTAGCCTAATAGCAATGGCCTCCAACCTACTAACGATGGCCTCCAATGCTACCGAACAAGGTTGACCAACAGTACAAGGATGACCACAGGGCTCACCTTGTTCTCATCTTCCATGACACCAACCCGCACCTTGCCAAGCCCACTGACAGGCCACAAGCACCCGGATGCTGGCTTTTCACAACAATAATTGCAAAATTGAAAGGAAATGTTGCTTTGTTTTCATGTTCCAAAAAAGAACGATCAATCCTGACATTTCATGAAGGAATTCTTCATGAAGCCAAGGGCTGTCAATCAGCACTGGCCTTTGGCAGGTTCTTCGGTGGGAAGGACACACCGAGTACGCCGTCTGGAATGCGAAGCGGAGAGCCCAGAAGCACCTGGCGAGCACCAAGGCGTGTTCAGCAACCGAGTGTCAGAAGTGATGAGAAAATATTGTTAGCGTTCTGGCACGGCAAAACCCTGACCCAATACGCGTTCAATGACTGCAAGACAAAGACGCAGGTGGGACGTCCAAGCCCCTCTGATCAATCTCGTACTGGTGCTCATAGTACCTGCTGATTCAAAACCTCTTGGCCTGCAGTTGGCTCAAAGGAGCTGCTGCTGGGCAGGAACACGACAAAGGATTCTCCGCCCTTTTGGTATCTCAACGATCAAGCTGGACAGTTCAGCCACCAAATGAACATCTTGGAAAACACATGTGATGCACTTGTCAAGAAGACAAACTGGTGCTGATCCATCCTGGGGTCTGGCAGCTCTCACCAAAGGTCTTTAAAATTTGCTCGGTCGAGCGAAATGACGAGGGCATGCACTGAGCGACTGGTGACTCTGCGCAAGGGTTCTGGGGCACCTGGACCTAGAAGCTTCCTTGGGAATCCTTTCACTGGGAATCTTTGCACCTGTATTAACAACAAAAACTTTCTAGGTCTTTGAAGCTTGTAAGTAACTAGAAGCTTTCTAGTAACATCAAAGAGAGGATGGCGCAGCTTCCTAGGCAATGCTCGCTTCCTTTGCTTTTTCAGCTTCCTCCTTGGAGATCGGGAAACCAGTACTGGGCCTTAGTCAGTCGCTTGCTTGGATGGATTACAAGGGTCAGGAAAATGGAGCTGAGAAAGCTGCAGCTCAGGGGGTGTCTTCCGGAGTCTCCTCATTTTGCTGCATACGAAAACGTCTAATGGAAGGTGTTGTACGAATGGCCTGTTCTCAAATGGGAACTCACCGGCTTCTTGTCCATCAAGTCTTTGCCCGGATAGCCAGCGCCTTGCAAAGGTTCCAAACGCAAAAACTGTTTTGCTTTATATACATTATTTGTGCACGTATTTGCTGCATTGTTTTTCGTTCATTGAGGCAGTTCCAGCCTCAAGTCTGCTTCTGTCTTGGGAGTGATCAAAAGACCACGATTGGAAAGCTTGGCACCTGACGACCAAAAAAAGTGTGTCACTTGAACTGAAACCTCTGAGCGCTGAGTTTGAGGGGCTGGCCCAACTGCGACGAAACAGGCGCGGCAGGTTGGGCCTCACTGTGGTTTCCAGGTTTGTACCGAAGAAACCAAGTAAACTCTATTGTCCAACCTAAAAACTTGGGGTCGACTGAAGGCAACTCAAAACACAAAAGTCACAAAAGGCGCCAGGCACTTTCCAGACCCTGTTTCTCGAGGCGGGCAGCTGTCTCCTGTGATTGCAGACTGAGCTCAGAAAGCACATGTTGGTTCCAGTCTAGTGGAGACATCAAACAGAAATATTCAGCACAAGTTTGGAAAAGAACGAGCAAGGCAAGCCCCATAGATTGTTGTCCTTCATAACTAACGTGTTATTTGCGGGTGTTTTGATGCGTTCTTGGAAGCTTGGTTAGAGGTGTATGTATATATATACATATACATATACATCTACATTTTTTTTTTGTCCGGCTCTTTTCGATCCGCTGAAGTCTGGGTTGGTCTCATGCCAACATCTGTCTGATGTCTCCAAAAGCGGAGGTTCGGCAAGGGCTCCGCAACTTCTGCGTCAGCTGCACCTCATTGTTGCGAATGCGAGCCCTCTCGTGGCACTTCTCGCACTCTGTCTGCGCTCCGGTTCTTGTCATCCGATGCGAATGATGTCCGTGCCATAGGTGAGCTTCAAGTGGGCCGTGGTGGCAGACTTCACCGAGGAATCGGTTGAAAGATTCCTCTCCAGCTCTGGCAAGCACGTAGCCACGACACAAGGTGCAGCGTAAGTACGCTTTTTCAAGGCGTAGGTGGTGAGTTCCTGCCCTTGGTTCACCTTGGCTCTCGATGAGGTCATGGATGATCTCGAAGCGGGTCTTCTTGCCCTTTTTGACCGGCCCTGCATGAGTGCAAGGTGAGGTCAGGCCTTCTCGGAGCTCTTTGAGGAGGGATTTGGTGTGATAACGTTGACGACACAGGGTGCATTGGACTCCTGACCTGAAAGTGGTCCACTGGTGGCCCGTGGCACTTGGCTCCTGGAGGAAGCTGCTGAGAAGGGCACGTTTCTGCTGCACTAATGGTACTTTGGCCGGCATCTCGGAGGAGGATTTGTGGTGCAAGAAGTGCTCCTTGTTGCGAAGGAGAATGTCCATTCTCGTTCCAGCCACACTCAAGACATCCCGAGTGTCCTCGTCAATGTGACGTTGCAAATCCAGAATTTCGTCAGGGCGGGCCAAAATGGCAGCTTGGTCCGCCTTGGACTGGGTGTCTTTTTGAAAGGCCCGTCGATTGGGATTGGAGTCCATCTCCTTTCGATCGAAAAGAAGCAGTCGAACTTGGTCGAAGTCTTCATGCTCCAAGCCCTGGCTGATGTCCGGAAAGCGCTCATGTGCTGCCATGAAGGCCCAGTGCTTCCAAATGCTGTGCTGAAAGACCACCACGTGGACCTTGTCATGGATGCGCAGGGAAAGGTGTTTCAGCCCATAGAACAGGGCTCGCAGCCTGGTGGCCTGGCCCGGGCATATGCCCGTCAGAGAGGCTACACGCTCTTTGGTGAAGACTTTGTGAATGCAGATGGCGAAGACGAACCTGCGGTGTCGAGGATCTTTGGACGTGGGTGCCACTGCTAAGGAGACAGCATGTCCTGCAGGGAGGTTGCAAGCCTCCAAGCCATCCCAAAGTCCTTCTCCGGTGAAAGTGGCCATGCCGCCATCAGGGATGTAGAAGATGGACTGGACCATTCCACGGTTCCACAGTTCGGGCTCTGAGTTGGCCTGGATGCGTTCCTGCCATTGCTCCGGAAGCGGCTGGACTCGTCCTTCCCAGAAACTGCATTCCCAAAGCAGGTGAATGAAAGTGAGTTCCACGCCACAGAGGGGGCACTGACCATGTTGTCCCTGCAAGGTGCCTTGATGCAATGCTCGGATGCCAGTGGCGATCTTGTCAGAAGTGATCTTCTGCAATGTTTTGCTGACAGTCCAATCTAGCTTCATTTCGAGGTCGTGGCAACCCGTGTGCCTTGTCAGGCGTAGGAGGCGTTGCCACTGAAATTCTTCAAGGAGCTTGTGCTGGATCTCTGGCCAGAGGGCTTCCAAGCTGATGTGGCAGTCCGGAATGCCCCCATAGCCTTTCCTCGTCCATTGCTTGCCATTGGAGATGTCGAAGTCATAGTCCAAAAGGTAGGCCTGGAGGGCTTGCATTGGGCCTGTGACGACCTGCCATCGGTATTTGGCTTTCTGAAGTTGCTCCAAAGCCCCTTTCCAACTGACCCAGAAAAGGTGTTGAGCTCCGGCATCAAAGGAGTGCAGGACTCGCCACACCGTGTGGATGTGCTGAAAGATGATGGAGTCCCCAGGATCGCTTTTGTCAGGATGCATGTCAAACACCACATCCACTGATCCTGTGCGCTGCAAGCCCAGGCCTCTGGCCGCCATCACTCGAAGTTGCTGTCGTCTCTGCGGTGCCATCCCGTTCGCCTGCGCTCCCCAGCTCATCACTGGATGAATGGCCCCTCGATGAAGACGATATTTGATGGAGGTGCGCAACTTGAGGCGCACCATGATGCCAGCACGGCCCTTGCCTTTGAGGAAGCGCTTCTTGATTTGAGTGATGCGTCTGCGCTTGGAGTTGGTTGCATCGATGCCCAAATCCCGTAGGACATTGTGATGCTGTGGATCATCAGCCTGAAGAAGGGCATCAAGGGCCTTGCCTGCTTCCTTGCTGCTGGTGAGAAAGCCTGTCTTGTCAGTGTTGAGCTGCAGTCCTGCGGCTTGCAAATGTCGTTGCAAAGTGCGAAAGGCTAAGACGGCTTCCCTGGCAGCATACTCAGGATCGGTGCCTTTGATGTCATAGGAGACGTCGTCGACCCAGGTTTGCAGTTCTTGGACCAAGGACCGCAGAGGCTAAGCTTGGCAATGGCAGGAGCCTGAGGGCAGCCCTGGAGAATGCCGTTCTGATAGTACTTGGGTTGCCGGGCAATGCCCTCTGCTTGAATGAGCCTGGGTCCTGTGTAGAGGTCCAGAGCCAGTTTGAGATGCAAAGGAGGGTATTGAAGGTCTCTGGCAGGCTCAATGAGATGGTCCAGCTGAACAGTGTCGTAGAAGCAAGTGAGATCAGCCAAACAGGTGACCGTGTGAATGCCATTGCGCTTGCCAATCTCGGCTTTGAGCATGCGACCGATGGCGATGGAGAGGCAGTCTTTGTGGGGTCTGGCGTGATCCCACGGCATGTCTTTGTCCAGACCCAGTTGCCACTTCTGCAGGTCGTGCTTGCGGTAGGAGTTCCACAGCCGGTAGAGGCACGAGGTCAGGGCGATGGGCCTCTCAATGCGCTCATTCTTCGGGATCATCACGATGTTGGTGTGTCGCATTTGAAGAGGTAACTCGGCCTCCTGTTCCATCTCCGTGAGGAGCTTGGCTAGTCGTTCCACCGCCGGGTAGGGAAGGTGGCGAAGGAAGTCATAGGAGATGCCATCTGGACCTGCTGCTTTGTTGGGAAGCTTCCTCATGATCTTCTGCAAGAGACTGGAGTCAATCCCTTTCTGCTGTAGGGCCTGTGCTTGGGCTTCTCGCCGCAAATCCATGAGTCCTCTGACTTGAAGTGGTCCCTCAAGTGGCTTCCAGATGGCGCCCCATTGTTGTTCTCTGGCTTCAGTGCGAAGGGTAGGAGGGAGATTTTGGAAGGGCCTCTGCCGTGCGTGATCTTTCTGTCGCAGACTGCGAAACAGGCCTCGGAGGCCTTTGTCGTGAGCCTTCTCAAGCCATTCACGGAATTCATGATTGGTGGCACTAAGCATCTGCTGTTGTGCAAGGTCCTGCTCGTATTGGATGATTTGTTGTAGACTCACAGGTAGAGAAGGGCCCCCGAAGATCCACTGCAGAAGTTGTTCTTCCAAGTGTGATTGGTCCAACTCAGGGGAGGCATGTTGAGGAATCCTCCTGATCATGTCCTTGAGGTCCTGCAAGAGGCCAGGGTACCGCCCATGGGAGGCCAGATTTAATCTGATGCCCATCTTCTCCCAAAAGGCAGCGCTGCCTTTCTTCCACACTCTCGGTTTGGATGAGCTCGCCAGAGGGGCCGTGTAGAGCTTGATGTGAGAGCCTCGGCCTGTGACAGGTCTCTGCAGGTTCT